GGCCTCGGTGACTCCAAAAGTACCATTTGCTTCGGGGCTGCGCCCCTCAGCAAATAGTGTTATTGGAGTCACCTCTTGCGCATAATTTTAACCAGAGCCTCTCAAGGAAGTGTATATTTGTATACTATGAAATCACATGATAACGACTAGTACTTAACTTCATCCATGAATCAGAAGTCTTTCCCGACATCAAGATGGTCATATCATTATCACATCTTTGAAAGAAAAAAGAATGGTGATTTCCAGAGATATTCAATAAATGATTTATAACGATAAATTTTGTTTGAAAATATCAACTGCAAATTGGCAACCACATGATTCGAGTCAGTATAAGAATCACTCTTCTACATCTGTTCGTTGTACTATAATATTTAAAAACAAATAGATTCATTTTTCTTATCTCTTCATAGCTCTTTCCATAAAACGATTGTGATGATAAAGACTTATCTTGATAGACAATGTATATATCTTGTCAGAACTTTATTGAATAAATCTATCTGGCTCTTTAGATTTACAAAATAAAAATAGGGTTCTAAGACGATATAAAGTATATCAAGAATATAATCATATTCTCACAATCGATTAATGAAAAGAGTAACATTTTTGCAACTTCATGGCGAACATTGTAAATTAAAATATGAGCTTGTTAAAAATGACTGACTGATTTCACCCACTGCAGCAATCCGTCTGACGGGAGGTACCAAACCCACCCAAGGCCGCTTAGAGGTCTTCCAAGGCAACACTTGGGGGATCCCCTGCGGGAGCACCTGGACACACGAGAACACCCAGGTCGTATGTCGACAGCTGGGGTTTCCTGGATCTGTCACCTTCTCCTTCAGTTCTACCGCAGTGTCTGATGCTAATGACGGAGGTGCCCACCCTGTTGGAGACATTTCCTGTAATGGATGTAGGTTGTAAAACACTTGCTCCTGCGACAACTGCTCCTCGACAATATCCTACACTAACCAACTTCTTAACTTCAACCAGGCTGAACTCAACTATACACCTAACTCTAACCCTAACCCTAAATCTTACCCTAACCTTATCCCTTATTCTAACCCTAAAGCTAGCCCAAACCCGAATGCAGCGCGGTTAATCCTTAACCCTGCATCTTTGACGAAATGAAGCCCGGATAAATTGTCGAAGGAACAAAACATTTCAGGTCACCATGGAGCGGACCTAAATAGTCTTATAGTCTTATAGTGGCTTAATAGTACGCAGGTTTATGTTATAGCAATTGTGTTAACTCATTATGTTTGTATATATATATTTCCTTTTTAACTTTTTGTATCTGTATATATATATATATATATATATATATATATATATATATATTGTCATTTTAATGTCTGGTCAATTTTTAAATATTTTTTTTTATTTCATGTGATTGAAGGGCTGTCTTGTCTGGAGGAGCAGGTCCCCAAATGGACTTGAAATGGTACTCCTTTGTTGAAATTAAACAATGAATGAATATTTAGATAAATAAATAAGTAAATAGACAAGTAAAATCAATAAATAAACGATCAAATGAATAGAGAATCGACATGTGTACCGTTTTGCTGCTTGTTTATAACATTATTATGTCTATATAAAATTAATCTATTGTAATGTATACATGAAGACGGGTTGAAAATTGATAATGATTGGACTAAATTTATCTTTGTTGAATAAAATAATATAAGAAATGTTGTATTTGAACGATAACAATTTTATTATTACTACATAAACATTGAATTCATATATGTTTTATATTTCCACTTCAGCTGAAAGCAGTCTATCCTCTTGTATTACCACGTCAGCTACGTGCCGACAGGCTCTCAATGTTGACATTACATGCCAGGGTAATATACACTAATTCAAAGCTGTTCATGCCGTAATAATACTATGTCCCATTTGCAGGCCTTAAAAATGAAATTCCAAAGGCCCTTGAAAGACAATACTTATTTAGAACGTCCCTCAAAACGAAAGGGCTTGAAAATGGCTTGGGGGGGGGGGGGGGGGGTGGGGCAAAGTAACAACCAATGGTTGTCGAATCGATCGCAATCACCTTAGTAAATAGTTTGATTTACAGAACCTTGTACCGAACGGCCGTACGTTTTTGCCATTACAAGTAGTGGGTTATTGGTGTAGACAAATGCTCATGTACCTGTTACAGCTCGTATTATGTATTTTATTACCTAAGAAAAAAATATGTCAGTCAGTCACTCAATAGTGTCTGACAGTGTAGTCTAGAAAGTAAACGGGTTTCCGTGCATAATTTGAATACTAGAACACTACTAACGGTTACATTTTACAGATATGACATAGTGCATGACATATTCATAATTCCTGCAAAGTTCTACATAATTTGATGTTGGCTGCAAAATGGACATGGTACAGTACCTTTAGAGCACTATTGAAACCCGTTTCAGACGAGGCCTCATTTCTCTGTTGTGGGACTCTGTCAGTGATTCGTCCGTTTAGAGAAAATAACAGAGCTTTCATCATGCAATTGCGATGTAAAATAAACTGTTGGGATGCGGATGGAAAAGGTGATCATACTGTGAAAATTTTGAATCACCAAAATGTTTTAAAAAGTGGTACAGCCTCGCTGAAACTCATGTGCAACGCACACATAAATGTGTTTTGTGAAACCACACAAACATGAAGAATGAAAGTGCAAGATGCAATTTGAAGAGCCATTTTTGTTAGGGGACATTTTTCTCTTAAGGATACTCTTCCACACTTTGATATACAAAATGAGTGGAAAATCTCACAAATAATCTTGCACATTTCCCAGAACTCTATATTTAAGAGGAATATTGTATAAAACAGAATACAAAATGAATAATGTATAATTCATGGCTCATTATAGTGCAGATAATAGCGCAAACGAAATAACGCCTTGTTGGTAATAGAGAAATACATTTTCTCATCTGTAATCTCCCCTCCCTCCCCGTTTTTCTCTTTTCCCCTCCCCCGCTCTCTCTTACCCCCCACACACCCACCCCCTCCCCATCTCTATCTGAACTCTCCCTCTCTTTCTTCGATCTCTCTTACTCTCTCTCTCTCTCTCTCTCTCTCTCTATACTGCGATCTTTCCCCTCACTTTCTCTTTCTCTTTTGCTCTTTCTGCCACCCATGCTTCCACTTGGATATTACAGATTTCGGCTATGCTGGTTGCTACAATCAGTCGAACTTCTCACCAACATTGACAGACGGATCCCTGACTAACGACATATGCATTGAAAGGTGCCTTGCTTTTCGAGATGTTCATTACGCCATCTTGCAGAATTCAGATTGCTTCTGTGAAACATCTCTGTCCGGGTTAACCCGGAAGAATGATTGGGATTGCAGCGACCTTTGCGTGGGGAATCAGGCACATTCGTGTGGCGGACCGCAGGCTTACACAGGTAACACTATGAATATGACGGACTAAGAAAGCGGACACAATATACAGTTCCTCAGGTAGATAAAGGAACATCCCTTCACTGCTATTATGTAAAAATGTGTAGAACAGGTGAATATGCATGTGACACCTGTTCTACACATTTTTACATGATAGCAGGGAAGGGATGTTCCTTTGTCTACCTGATGAACTGTATATTTTGTCCGCTTTCTTTGTCCGTCATGTTCATAGTGTAAAGTTGTAGTTGGTTTAGTTCTGGCAAAGAGATACTCTTTGATTCTGGCTACACTTATGATAGGCACTGGCTGGAACGAGTCGAAAAGAATTGATCACGTATTGCTTAAAAATTGGTCTATAGTGTGATGTTTTTGGAACACCATAATAAGGCCCCCCCCCCAAAAAAAAAAGAGAAAAAGTTGTATTGCCCTTAAGGTGCCAAACATGGGTCGGTCGGTCGGTCGGAGTTTGAAAAAAAAAACTTGCCTCTTTTTTTCTCCCTCTTTGGGCTGATATTTGTTTTCTCTAAAAAACGGTAAAAAAAAATAAAAATAAATAAAGCCCACCGTAGATTTCAAGATTTTGGGTTCGGTGGCAAAGGGCAAAACAACATCTTTTTCTTTTTTAGGCCTAAGCTTTTTTGTTGAAAGGAACATGCATTGCACACACACATTAGCATATGGGACTACATATTAAATGCATATAGCACGAGATTTTGGTCAAAACTATAACAAAAATTAGGAATAATATGCGGGCATTTAAAGAGAAATCCTGTCAGGGAACCCTTCTTTAAACATAGACAAAAAAGAAGCAGAAGTCTCACAAGTTACTTTTAATCTTAACCAGAATTCAACCAAGCTTTTTATGCTCTTAGACTAGTTTCGAGTCTTTTTGAATAGTTCGTTTCCAATTTCAAGCCCTAATAGATCCACTCGACTAAGTTGCGAGAACAAGGAATATAGTCTCTCTTATTGTGATTTCATTAAGAATGAAAATATGATTGGTGCTTTCAAGATTTTCTGCCATCATGAAATCTATCATTATTTTTACCCCGAATGTATTTATATGGCAGAGTAGTAGCGGAAATCTTGAGCGATATGAATAAGTTGACGTTTGCCATCCAGTCAGTACAATACTAATGTCAGGTTTGCATTGGAATGATTCTTTGTATTGCACCGACCGCCAACGCTTCTTTATTCTTCCTCACACTAGTCTTTCGCACAGACGTTGGATTCTGTGGTGATCCGCAGAAACCAACACTGGGTGACTACACTTTGGGTTCTACCCGGTATGGAAACATTGTCGAGTTCCAATGTGATAGCGGCTTCGAGCTGGTGGGAAACAGCACACTTCAGTGTCTTGGTAGCTCTGTTGATGACCTGGACTGGAGTGGGGAATATCCACTGTGCGCAGGTCAGAGGTCACTTGAAAAATCATTTGCATAGACAGGTTCGGACGTAACACATGTACACAAGACCCCCTGATATCCACATCAATTTTAAACATGAAGAGGCCCTACTTTATCTATTTCATAATAATGACAGCAAAAGTAATGAAGTGCTTCATAACACATTGTTTGCCCCCCTGAAGAAAAAGTAGACCTTCTAAACTTGGAGCAGTCCCATTTTTTGCATATTTATGATATTCACTGACAAAGTTATGGCGGTGCTTCATGAACATTATGAGTATCATATAATGTACCGTCGGTGCATACATGTTTAATAATTATATGATTGTTTTGAACACGTATTATTATTATTATTATTATTATTATTATTATTATTATTATTTATTCGGCAAAACAAAGTGTATACAGAGGATTACATAGAAGAACAAATCATACAAAACAAAGGATGAAAATCATCGTGATTCCCATGAGCATTTACAAGTTGCCAGGAATGGGGCAGGCAAACTAAATCACCGAAACCGTTAAGGTCCCCCATTCCGACTTGCAGTACTCATGGGAGATCACTACATAAATACATTGTAACAAGTAACAAGAGTATAGCAACAATCAATATGACAATGATAAAAGAAGAAACTCAAATTTTTAAATTAATCAATAAAGTACAAATGATTTCATATGTTTTTAAAGGAAAATTATAAAGAGCCTTCCAATAAAAGCAACATGTCTTCGTATTGGACAATTATAAAGTGGAACAAATACGAATGATGGACTCCGTCTTGGTATCAGAATACAGGCTAGGGGTGTCCAGTTATTTGACATAAATACTTTATGGTTGAATTATACAAAATTAAAATATACAAATTTGCTTTTGTGTTATATATGAGATAATTATTAAGGGGCAGAAATGCAAATGGTTGGCAACAATTGTTAACTATCTAATACTCCTGAAGGTTCTACTGTTCTCCAGGATATCAAGCTTTACAAAAATAAATAAATAAAATATTGCTTATGATTGCATATTCATGGCAATTCAATTAATTTATATTGTTCTCATTCTTTCCACCTCAACACTGGTTACGCTGGTTCAACAATGAAGAGGAAACATTTGGTATGTATACATGTATGAAGAACTTACTTGGTATTTTTCTTTTGTTTGTTTTCCTTTTATGTGTGTATGTGAACCTCTTTTTATGCCACCCAAATAACTAAACAATATTGATTTTATATTATATAAACGATACTTACCTCGATTTTTTAATTTCTTTAATTAATTTTTGCCTGAATCATGATCAGTTATGTTAACCATTACCTCTAAAATGAATAAAAAAGAAAATACAATATCTAGATTTCTTTATTTCTGGAATCCTGTTGCTATGGCAAAGGCAAAGTCTTGTTATATTTAAAAGAATGGTAGTGGAAGTTTTGTCCTCTTTGGTAACGATAGTTTGCCTCCTCTCTCATCATCTTGCAGTAACTGTTGGTCTGGTACTTTGTGTGATGGGTGCGTTGATTGTGTTTCTATCCATGGTCTGTGCTGTGGGCTGGTGAGTATTTCGATGGAGTCGTTGTGGTCTCTAGTAGATAAGTCAACGGAGTGTAGATCTCAAGCTATACGTGGTTCTAATCATAATAATAATAATGATAATGATAATAATACAAATAATTCACACATGGTAGCTTCATCAGTATAAGTACTGTTCTCTTCGAGGACCCTACTATCATATTATTATCGCGGCTTTAGCAGACTGGTATCCCTAACAAGCATCATTTCAGGAAAAATGTTAAACATTAATTACGTTTATTCTTTTCAGTGAAATTCGCAAGAAGTTGCACAAAGGTCATGAAAGAGTTGACACAGGGTCTTTATCCGCACCAATGAGCTTAGCACAAGACATACGTGTACCAAGCATCCAGTTGAACCCCCAAACCGACATCGCCCTGCAGCACGACCCCCCTCCTTCCACGTCGGTCGGGGTTTCATCCTCTCCCGCTGCAGCTCCGCCCAGACCATTGCAAAACACGGCCACAGCTCAAGCTGCTCCGCCCAGGCCATTACAAAACACAGCCACATTTCAAGCTACAGGGCCCCCTCCAATTCCAGTCGGTGTACCAAGTGCCACCGCAGCAGCACCTGGAGACTACGAAGAGGTCTATGAGGTGGTAGACGACTACGTCAGTCCATGGGAAGAAATCGGCGGCGGGATGGAACTCGTCTTCGAACGCCAACCAAGTGAAGAGGAGTCATATGAGATGACACCTACTGCTACACAGTCTGCAGCTGCAGCAATAAGCGCGCAAGATGAAATCGGGAACGAGACATATCAGGAAGTCCGCTCTAACCAAGGAGACGAAGGGCAGGATGGCTATCTCGAAGTCCGTTCGAACCACGGAGAAGAAGGGCAGGATGGCTATCTCGAAGTCCGTTCGAACCACGGAGAAGAAGGGCGGGATGGCTATCTCGAAGTCCGTTCTAACCACGGAGAACAAGGGCAGGATGGCTATCCTGTTCTACCTGATGAAGAAAATCCCAGTGACCCAAGCAAGGATCGACCTACTACCTACCTCGAGATAATCGGTGAGGGGGATGCATCGACCAACCAAGATCAAAGTGATCTGGACTACACTTACATTGCGGACGTCAGCAACGTTGACATTCGACCTCGACTTTGCCTACCTGATGAGCATACAGAGGAGGAGGAACAGCCTGAATACGCCGATACACTGGTCCCACCAGTCTACAGTAATGAAAGAGCTATGTGTCCTCGACCTCGACGCTCAGATCTTAACAAATAGAAAGCAACAACTGCAGATAACCTTATTTTTTCTAATTATTGTTCGGTTCCCTTTAAAGCCCCTCTAAAGTGTTGGGAGCCCTGCAAAATAGCCAACGCGAAGATTTGAAGGCAAAATTTCACTAACAATGTATCATTGTGTGACAGAGGATGTCATTTAAGAAACACTTCTGCAAATATTTCCCCTAAAACAGGTGTTCGAAGACAAATATTGATCAAAGAATACATATTTTGGGTTTTCTCTTGTACGCCATCGAATTGTGGGGCTCACTTTAGTCTCGATTTCAACCGATCATTGAATATTGTAAAATCGCCTATGCTTCCAGTGTGTTCATTTCTCTCTCTTTCTCTCTCTCTCTCTCTCTTTCTCTCTCCTCTCTCTCTCCCTTTCTCTATCTCCCTCTCTCCCTATCTCTCTCTCTCGCTCTCTCTCTCACACTCTCCCCTCTCTCTCCCATTTCTCACACTCCTTCTTTCTCTCTCTGTCTCTCCATATTTCTCTGATATATCTGCCTATACATATAAGGGTAACACGTGAATGCTTTTTTGAACAATGTTACTATAGAATTTTACTTTGTTAACTAAATTAGATTTAATTGTACAAAATATACAATATACACAATATTACAATGGCAACCTTTTACTCATGTTTTTATGCGATCCATGCAATACTCTACCTTTTACCTTTTAAAAATTTTCGGCATTTTACCTACAATGTATAATTTTTAAAAATTATTGTAGCATCTATTTGATTTTATAATTCTTGAATGTGGTTTCTATTGTTGTCTCTATTTCTGTTATTGAAGAAAACACCATAACCATACCATACCCATCTGGCTATGCATTTTCCAACCATAACATTCGATTCTTACGAAGTTCAACCAAATACTTCTATTAATATATTGTATAATTTCAATATATAATTTTATTGCAAATAGGGTGATAAAATTCAGTTTTCTGTATAATTATGTACCAAAAAAATCTGCTATAATGTGTAACGATGGCGACCCGACACATGCTCTGGCGGCGGTTGCTCCAGGCTTTATTTCATTAGGGATGTTGGGTTGGGGTTGTATTTGTTGTTGGGTTTTGAGCTGGGTTTGTGCTTGGTGTTGGGTTGGGTGCGGTGTAGGTTTCTTAACCGGGGTTGGGATTGGGAGTTTGATTAATGTACATACTTGCCGCGAAGTAATTGTAGCCGGAGCAGGTGTCGTTAAAGCGCAATTATATATTATATGTACAAAAAGAATTGCAATCCGACTACCATAATGTTACCATTCATATGTTTTACGTGTAATTTTACTTTGTCACTGATGTATACTTTGTAAAAAAAAATTGCAATTCGGCTCTCGGGCCGCGAATGTTTTTTAATAAAACCATTTAAAATAAATAAAATAAATAAATAATTTCATGACCACATACCAAAACTTTGTATTACCTTTAAGCTATTCATATGTCTTTTCCACTCACCTGATCTGAAGAACAAATAACAAATTTTGAACTCACAACTTTGGCTGGAATTTGCTGGAATTAAGGCATCGCCCAGCGATTTTTGGAGAAGTCGAGCAGGCTGTAGAGCTCCAGTGGTGCCTGGGCGGTGCCTTGTCGATTTCCCGTCGGTCGCCAGTCGATTTTATGCTATGGTCACATACCCAAAAGTAGCCTGCTCGGCGGCCGAGCGGCGAGTTTTTAACCAATTCTGCTAGGGGGCTGCCCGAGCACCGAGCGGCGGCCGCCCAGGCACCGCTCGTTTTTAGGGCATCGCTCGGTCGCCGCTGAAGAGTTAAAATTTGGGCGGCGCCTGCTCACTTTTCACTCGCCGCCCAAAATACGCTCGGTGCCTGGGCGGTCGCCGCCCGGGCACCGACCTAATCGCTGGGCGATGCCTAATTCCAGCAGCGACCGAGCAGGCTACGGATCGGTCGGTCGCTGCTCTGATTTGTGACCATAGCTTTAGGTCAAAACTGGGCGAAATCGCGGAGCTTTTCCGCGCGGTGTCCCGGCAGTGACCGACCGGTGACCCACCGATTCCCGAGCAGTCTCCCATGCACCGGCCGACGGCTGATTTTAAGATATTGCACGGCGGCCGGTCAGTGATCGGTGGGGCTCCAAAATACGCTCAGGACCCGGCCGGTCGCCGCCCAGGCACCGAACTAATCGAGCGTTCGCCGCCGAGCGATTTAGGTCAAAAATCGAAGCCGCTAGGTCAAAGGCTGCTGACCAATTTTGGACTCGCCGCCCAGTGACCGACTGATCTTCCAGCGGCGACCGGCGACGACCGGGCGGCGACTGCTCGACAGCCTTTGACCGAGCGGCTTCGATTTATGACCTCAATCGCTCGACGGTGAACGCTCGATTAGGTCGGGGCCCGGGCGGCGACCGCCCGGCCACCGAGCGTAGGCTGGGCGTCGAGTGAAAGTGAGCAGGCGCCGCCCGAATTTTAACTCCGCGCTAAAATTTCAGCAGCGACCGAGCGATGCCTTAAAAATGAGCGGTGCCTGGGCGGCCGCCGCTCGGTGGCCTGGCAAAATTGGCTAAAAACTCGCCGCTCGGCCGCCGAGCAGGCTACTTTTGGGTAATGTGACCATAGCATAAGCTGAAGTACGGCCGATCGAGAGTGCGAGGAATATTCTGTACTGGGTGGGTATCTAGCAACTCCACCTGAGTCGAGAGTGGCAAGTTTTGATTTAGGTTTTCCCATAGGGCGTTGGTGCTGTTCTAAGGGATTTGAACCACGTACCGTGTGATCCACAGTTCACTGACCATACTGCGTAACCTAGACCACTAGACCATGGCATCCGAGGGATTCAATGTTTTTAATTTATATTACCTGACTGCTAAGAAAACATGTGTATGATTGAGAGTAAGCAACCAGGGGACCGACGGCTTATGTCCTCTTTGGACTATTTGGTGATGAAGGTTAATGTCTTACTAAAGGGCATTAGCGCATCGACTTGGTTTCGAACTTGGGATCTACCGGCTTTGTGAAAATTCAATTTAAATTCATTTCACATTTATTTCATTGTTCAACCACTGAGCATTCGTGCCTCTACTATGGTCATTACCTTTAATCATAATGGGTGATTGATGACTCGAAACAACAGGGAAATGTAAATAACGATTTTTTTTTTTGGTACAAAATATACCGAAACACAATTTTGTGTGACCTTGCTAATTGCATTTGTATTTCCATATAGTAGAACTTAATTCATAACGTACATGAATATTGTGTGTTAACAAAACTTAAAGATCCATCGAAAAAATATCCACGTACATGTAACTTATTGAATACGTATGTATAATTATGCATTATTTCGTATAAATCTAAATCATTAATGGATGACGTTGATTCATATCAAATGAATCGTGTTGACGATTCAACTATTTGAGTAAAACTAATTTGAATCACATTTAAAATCTAAGTAGCATTAAAAACGATTATATATGAAATAATATTATTTTTCGTTGCTTTTTTGCACCCGCTGTATGAATTTCATGATGAATAAAATTTCGGTATCTTAATAAGAATTGCATTATTAATTGTTATTTTGTGTGCCAGTTCATTTAGAGCAACAGATTGACATCATTAATGTAATCGAAATAAATGCAATTTTTTTTGTAAAGTGCTTTGATACAAATCATTTGATTAACACAAATATTAGTATTTCAGTAGTCAAAATGCGAATCGCATACATCATCTGTTGCTAGGTACGGCAAATATTTTGGCCAATCCAAACCCTCATGATGCATGCAATTCGCCCAAATTCCCCTCTTGCCAGTATTGAAACTATTGTTTTACCCGATTTCCCCAAACCTTTTAAATGAGTGTTCAGTTTGCACCCTCTTTCTTATTTACTCTCTACAGTTCGTCCAATCCAAGCATTTCCTAGTGTGTAAAATCATTTTCAATAGTCAACCAATGATAGTTAGGCATTTACTTTTTAAATAAAAAGGCCCTACAACGTGCATGAGGGAATACATAAAGATATCACTAAGATATCACAACCCAGAGGAAAAGAACCAGCGCCATTTAATCATCATTGATGAATAACTCGAAAAACAGTATAGCCAGGCGGAAATAATCTTTTCTGATTGGACAGCCTTATAAGCCCAACAACAACAACGAGTTGAACTATTTCTTAACACATGAAGTTACATTTTTGACAATTTGACATGACACCATGGCATGAAGTGCCGGAACAGCAGCGGAGTATAATCACCAAAGCAGATAAATAGTATCTACTTCTGATAGTTCACGTTCAAATGATGACGTAATCAATTGATAAGGAGAAAGGAACCCGCGAGCAAGCAAAGCAATAGGAAGTGAACTGAGACACGTACGATAACCATGATGAGTATGTACAATTAGTGATTAGTGTAATGGGAAACGATAATACAAAGACAAATCATCAATGACGTATGGGGAGAGGAATAGCGAAAAAGAGAACGGGAAATCAATGTTAAATAATATCCTGTATAGCCTTACTCCTTTCGACGTTACGGTTGTAATATTCCAGTCACTACGTAAGCCCGGTACCCCCATGACAGACCCCCATTATGGCAAGGCCTTTACTGCGTCAATGTAAATGATAGAAAGTGAAGAAAAAAAAGGTTTAAACAAATTCCCATCGAGTCCACTATTATCCGTATTATCCGCACGCACTTACATGTGCGCGTGCGCCCTCTTTTTTTAATTTTTTTTAAAACAATTTTGTTTTATTTCTCCAGATGTGTAATACAAACCATGACATACAATTGAATAAAATAAACGCGTTCAATATCGATGCTTTTACATAAACATAATTAAACACAAACTTATTTGCAGTATAATTTAACTTAGCAACAAAGTAAACGTATAAGTACTTAAACATAATATGTCAATTGTAAATGTTATTTACTTATATATTACAAAAAAAAACAAATCTGGAGGTAATTTTACTGAAACAATCCTGCCCCCTCCCTGCCCCCTCCATCACACAGACATACTCACCCTCTATCACACAAACATACTCACCCACTCACACACATACTCACCCACACACCCACCCACCCCCCCACACACACACAGTACTCACTCAGTGGATGTCTGCCAACATTCTCAACTCAAGAAAAATATACTAAATAAATTATCCAGGCCGCAAAATCGAGTTACGCTTTTAACAGGCTCACGGTGGAGAAGAAAGCAAATCTTAACTAATCTTAAGCTGCTCCCACTTTAAGAAATGTGATCCTAGCTTTCCAATTTTAATTGCTATTTTCTTTTCCTCATCCCTATACTTAAAAATGCTTTTTTCATCTTTTCTAAAGTTAGTACTCGCCCCCCCCCCAATCTTGACATAAATGTAACATACTTCACAATGAAAATGATAGTATTACACATTTTATTCTATATGAACTACCTACCAACCCAACAAATATATCTCGCCATTCTAAATCTTTAATTTCATCTAACTCAAAAAGTTGTATTAAAGCCTGCCATAACCTTTGAACGCTCCCACAAGATAAAAATAAATGTTTGTATGTTTCTATTCCCTGCTTACAAAACGAACATAAATTATCACCAACAAAACCAAATCTATGAAGATGCTCATTAGTGTATATGGCTCCATGCGATAATTTAAATTGAAATTCACGTTGTTTTCTAATGAGTATAGTAATTCTTGGTCTAACAAATATTTCTTTTAATTCTTTATCTATAAAATCATAATCATTTTGCCCATCCCTTACCTGCAAATCATACGTTCGTTGCAGTGCTTTGATAAAATAATCATAGATTGTTCTTGAACCCACATCCACAAACTGTATTTTTTTACTAGAAATATGGAAATAAGTATTAAAGCTTATCAAATCAACCTCGAGGAATTCTATTAACCCTGAATCATCCTTCCATAACCTGGGTATCGCATCATAAATATCAATAATCATAAGCAAATTATTACCTTTCATACCGAGGTTCATAAAATATTTAACAGGCTTAACATGACCTTTCTCAACCAAATGATTCAGTTGAACAATCCCTCTTTCAAACAAGTATCTATCAAATATACTTTTTCCATTTATACATATATTCTGATTATTAAAAATAATTGGATTAATATAACCCTCCAAATATCTTAAATTACTTGTCTCTTGCTCCAAGAAGGCACTCAAGGCCCCTCGGCCCAGCGGTGGCAAGAAGAGGAATAACCACACAACCACCCACACGCACGCACACACACAAGCTCGGAAATCAAATATTTTAAATACGAGGCTATCATCGACTGGATGGATAAGTTTTACATGAATTATCGAAAAGTTAGTAAAAGTGTTTTCAACAATCTCAGCTCCCATCCGAACCCCATAGCCCCCCTTAAACGGCAAGTCCACTCCGAGAATAACTTACTTTCAATAAGAGCAGAAAAATCATACAAACCAATCAAAAAAAGTTTGAGCAAAATCGGATAACAATTAAAAAAAAGTTATGAATATTGAATGACATGACAAGTTTTGAAAATCACAAGACAAATTGGCAACACACTCAGGAGCAGGCGCGTACACAGGGGGGGGGGAGGTTAACCCCCCTCATATTTTTATAATGTAAAAAAAAAGTTTACCCCCCTCCCCTCCCCCCCCCCCCCCCCCGCTTATTCAGCGGCTGGCTGAGTCGTTGCGAAATTTTCGGCGCGATTTCAAATTTCAATACACTCCCCTTGAAAAAATCCTGCGCACGCCACTGCTCGTGAGTCTGTGACGTCATTGTCTCACTATGATCTAATTGTATTCTTTATATTGATGATAATTTTTCACTAAAAAATCTTATTTCCTCACACTAGTATCCAAGTTATTTTGATAGTGATATGTTTGTGTGTGGATGCACTGGTATAGAGTATTTTTTCCTCAGTTAAATCATGACAAATTTTAATTTTGATAAACAATTTATATAAAAATCAATGATTATCAATATACAATATTAAGAAAACAGTATAAATTCTTCAAAGCTCATACAACTTTTTATGAACTTTCATGCACGTAATATGATACAATTATATAACGTGGGGAAAGGCATGGGGAAATGAAGTTTTAGGGATAAAAGGAAATTAGTGGTTTCAAAATATATCGAGGAATTGATAAATAGTGAGGCAATGACCTCACAAATTGATAGCCAAATTGGCAATTTGTGTAGTCATTTCCATAGTTCGATAGTTTTTCTTACTAAAGAAATTCAAAACTTCCTTCTTAGTTATCCGATTTTACTAAATTTTTTCTCTCCTCTGTTTCTCTTGTTTTCCTGCATCTATTAACAGCAAATTATTATTGGAGTGGACTTGACCTTTAAATCCCTGAGTAGACGTACACACGCATACTGTACACATTGATAACCCACACGACGTCACATCCGTGTCATAAAGTCCTAATTAGGGTTAAATGAGATAGTGACAGTCGTACCTCACATATACCATTGTACTCGGACATACCAGCTGCGGAAACTTGTACTGTCAGGATTTAAAACAAATAATCGTCCGAAATGTTGAAATTGCGCCAGTTAGTTCTTCGAATTTGTTTACTGATGGCAATGTCTGGACTTATTCACGCTGAATTGAATGGTGAGCATTTTATTTATTTTATTTTATAAATCGCGTGTTAATTTTTCCTATACATTTTGTCGAAAATCAAAATCATTATGTAGATGATACGCTCTTTGTTCACGGGTTTTTGTTTTTGATTTTTTTTGTTTGTTGATATCTTTCGAAGGGTTCCGTTTGGTAGGTGGGAAGAAGCCAAACCAGGGCCGTCTCCAAGTTCGTTTCGATCACAGTTCTAGCTATCAATATATGTGTGGTGATGCGTGGACTGTCCAAAACAGCAAAGTAGTATGTCGTCAGTTGGGATACCCGGGTCTTGTACGAGACTACAGAACTACATCCGAGGTATCGTTTGTAACCAGTTCTGATGGCGATACTGTTTCTAACGTCGCTTCAGTGCGGTGTCAAGGAAGTAAGTGTGTAGCTTTAGTACTTTCGTTTATGATGTACCAAATTAACAAAAGGTTCAACCTGTCATCATTTAATGGAGAAATATAAATGTTATACATACATATTGTTACTTTTTGTTTGAAAGTGTTGAGTAGCTAAAGGGGGGGGGGGGGGGATTCATTCCCCTATTTGCCTAATGGGACATTAAAATAATTATTTCTTTGTAGTAAGATTGGTGCCCCTTTCATAGCTGGACCCAGGCTACGCCAAATCTGTAAACTAAACTTTTTTCAATGTCATAGATTATACTTACTTTCTCTCATTATTTGGTTTTAGTATTATGAGAGAGAAACAATATCAAAGCTGTATGTGTTAACTTTCATTATAGTGTTGGTTATAAAACTTATATTATCTTATTTATATCTAATCAATTTCATTTTTGAAAGTATTCCCACAAGCGTTATGTCATAATTGTTTTAATATGGTATGTGTTTTATACAGTGTATGTGCTTTTATTGTAAACTAATTATAATTCATCTAATTTTCATTTATAATTTAAAAATGTAAAGTAAAGTATATTTTATTTGACTTTTTGAATATTACTGAATCTATTTAAAAAGAAATAAAAATGGAATTTTATTTTCAACCATTGATGGGGTATAGTGAATCAATAACTTACTAATATTCAACAATTCAATTAACCAATTGACCATTCGTTTGTTTGCAGTTCCATAGGCTGTGTACATGAATTAAAAGGTTAATGTTGGTAAAGAGTTAAAAGTTAATGAAAGTCCCAATTCTTTGTTCAAAACACTAAAATTGTGACCATGTTTAATATCATAACCTCCCTCTTTGATTTTGATTGAAAAAGAATTACTAGCAGGCTCTGTTTACATTGCTTCCACCACAGGCCCCACTCGATGATACAATTTTCCATAACCTTGATCAATATTCCAAATGACAGCTAATTAACTTCAGAAAAGAAAGTGTACCACAATCAAATTACCATCACACAAATGGTAGCCATTAAAAGCTGCCCTTTTCATATGTTTTCAAAGCCTGATATCTTTCATTTTCTCACAGTGAGCGGAAGTAATTCCCTCCTGTGGACTTATCAGATTAAACAATACCAAATGACATCATTATCATTATCACCTGTATATATAACGTCGTTTTACTCAGCGAGTTTAATCGTTAATATCCATTGTAGTTTGCTCAGCACTATGAGCGCCTGTAACATGTCCGGGGGAGGGGAGGGGGGGGGGGCGGGTTAGAACCAAACAAAAACAGGAAAAGATATTACACGCTATTTGCCATTGTTTAATTTGGCTGCTTTAACAAAAACAAACATAAAGAGAGAGAGAAAGAGAGACAGGAGGAGGAGAGAGAGAGAAAGAGAGAGAGAGAGAGAGAGAGAGAAAAAAAGGGGGGGGGGGGCTGAGAGAGGGGTTGGGATGAAAGAGGGAGAGGGAGAGAGAGAGAGAGAGAGAAAGAGAGGTACACTACCAGAATTGTTCAAATATTATTTTCCATTCGTTATCTTTTATACTTTCTTAGAAACCTTTGCATTGCTGGGTAATTTATCATGAAACCACATACATAACGATTTTTAGTTGTAAACATCGTTTGGTACGACTTTTATCATGGCCAGATGAACATTGAATGTGCGCTGAATATTAATCTGCTGTAGTATTTAAAATTGTTATACTCTTATCCTTTCGCTCTTTTTCTTAGGTGAATATGACCTTGCTTCCTGCCCCAGTAACCACAGCGTAGTATCTTGCTCTATCGACCAAACAGTGTCAATCGTGTGCCACGGTAAGTTGGAAATATACAGTTGCTTAGGCAAACTTAGGATGCTTCCAATAAGAGGAGGAGGAGGAGGAGGAGGAGGAGGAGGAGGAGGAGAGAGAGAGAGAGAGACAGAGAGAGAGAGAGAGAGAGAGAAAAAAACATGAGAAAGAGGATATAGAGGGGGAGAGAGAGAGTGAGAGAAGGGGGGGGGGGTGATATTTGCTCAAAGAAAGTTCGTATTTGATGTCATTTGGCTATTCAATAAAATATTCATTAGAATTGTATAACATAATTCTGATAGAGCAATTGGCAGAATACTCACACTTCAACTTACTAAATTGCTTTAAATTTTCACCTTTGAAATCATGATTCAGATTTCGGATATCTCGGCTGTTTTCGGCAGCGTCCGCATGAAATCGGACTCGTCCCGAACGCTGTGCGGTTTAATTATGACATCACAAACAACGACGAGTGCATTGAGAGGTGCAGCGCGGGGTATGACTACGCCGGTAGCTCTGGGCCATTGGTGAGCTAGATTTATATATATACATCGTCCCAGTCCCTGGGAGAAAAAGACTTATGACACTATAAACATGACAGACAAAGAAAGAGGACAAAATATACAGTTCCTATTATGTAAAATTGTGTAGAACAGGTGTCACATGCATATTCACATGTTCTACATATTTTTACATAATAGCAGTGAAGGGATGTTCCTTTGTCTACCACAGCAATTGTTGAGGGTAGAATGAGGAACTGTATATTTTGTCCTCTTTCTTCGTCTGTCATGTCCATAGTGTGATACCCCTTCGCTTAAACTGTGTCACCTGTTTTTTTTTATTATTTCTTTGTTAGGTAGTTTCTTTCTATATTTACTCATCAGATCCCCCCCCCTTCGACTCTCCGGGAAATCACTGACAACCCAACAGAACAAACAAACGTTTACAGGACCCCAAAATGCTTAACATCCCCCTACCCGTATCCTCAATTCTTTCAAACCGAATCATAACGTTCAATTTGGTTCTATTGACAACGGTCAAATTTGTAAATGTAGTTATTTAAAGAAAGCTAAAAATACAAACAGCAATTTTTGTTTTGTGTGTATAAAAGGCTGTGCGTCTGATTTGTTCGTTTATTGGCACCTGTTGTTTTGTTTCTGTATAAAAAAACACCTAAGCACTATGCTTACCTATAAGATTCCCACATTTCATTCGTATAAACTGTCCAAATAATTATCATAATGATTAAGTATTATTTCCAATTTGTTTATGATTCTTTCAGTGATTCGAATACTTCTTCTGGAAAACATTTCTCAAAGTTTTGTGAATAGGGTATAGGCTGCGATTTGTTTTCAGGTTTATCTCTTATACACTGCTTATCGTTTTTTTGTGATTCTTTCTTCGATCGTCTTCGTTTATCTCGTCTAATTTAAATCTCACTTCTTTTTTCCGATATGAAATTCTGCAATTCAAAACATGTACCATTTATTTGGACGTCCCTCAGTGTATCTGCACGTTTAAGCACCCCTCAGTGGAGTTGGATCCGAGCACAGATGAAGAGTGCAGTGAGAGATGCGGCTCTAACTCCCTTCAAGCTTGTGGCAGGAGCACAGAAACCAGACAGCAGGCATTCTATACGTGTAAGTCAGAATCAGTCAAATGATATAACATCTCGATAACGCACCTAATACAACGTTTTTATTGTTTTAACCACCTTCTCATTCCAAATGTTTCAAAACGTTTGAAAAGCGAATACAAACGTTCAGACCCTATTCGATTCGATTCGTCTCAGACTGCACGGTCCGGGAAACGAAATATTTACATGATACACACGATCGTGTCACACGATAGACTCATTCAATGAGAATATATTACAATTTGTATATCGAATTCAGATGTTTACCATACTATCTCATTAATATATGAGTTTATATTGTAGGGTGGTATAGGGGTTTATTCACTTTCCACTCATTATAATGGTTGAGGGTTTGAATCCGTGCTCGGCAATAACGTCCTTTGGCAAGGCATTAATCTACATTTTCCACTCCCCACCCAGGCGTCAATAGTACCTATAGCAATCGCTAGGGTAATGATAATCGCAGGGCCCGTAGGATGGACAGTATATTAAAACTGGGGGATGTTTCACAAAGATCCTAAGATGAACTTATCTTTAAGTTGGACTTAACAATTATAAAAAGCCGTTAGCATCATTTAAATAATTTCTAAAGATTATTTTAAAAGGTATTAAATGTTGATTCAAATCATTCATATTTTCTATTATCTTGGGAGATTTCATGTTCTTGATGTGGAATTTATGAAAAGTCTAAAATACTTGAATTCTGCTTTTGAATGTATTTCTTCATAAGGCTAAAAATGGCTCTCCATAATATTTAAGGGCAACTTTGAGCTAAGTTCGATTTAGAATCTTTGTGAAACACCTTTCTGGTGTGGCTATCTTTTGAATATAGTTTACAGTACTCGAGAAGGACTTTGCAATGCAGCATCTGCTCCAGCCAATGGGAACGTAACTGGAACATTTAACCGCTATGGTGATATCGTTACTTTTCGCTGCAACGCAGGGTACGACTTGATTGGAATGGACAGTCTACAATGCCTCGTGACATCAGAAAACAGCAGCGAAATATTCTGGAATGGAATGCCTCCTATTTGTTTTGGTAATATAATATTTAAAAAGAAATTGGGTATCTTTGGCCAGTATCGATAAGAGCATTTTAGCTTGAGTCCATTTTAATTCCTGAATTTTTGGTTTGATTCAGTACACTGTTTTTATGGAAAAAGTGTAGATCCTAGGTCTGTAAATGAATGAATAAGCAAAATTTATGCTTTCACTTGATTGTCTTTGTTACGTAATAGCAATACCGAAAAAGGCGTTATGATGTGTAAGGAAGGGTGTCCCACTTAGTTCTGGGAGAGTTGTGAACAAATCCAGTGTTAGATTAATACTAAATTCTGTAACACATCCAAAATTACCTCTGACAATTTCGATGCCCTCAGAAGTCTGCTGACTTACGGATGTTAAAGTTAGCCTCCAGTTTTGAGATCGCCAGGAGATGCCGTTTTGCTAACCGCCGCATCATAACATTCAAACAACTGGTTTACGCTCTCATCCCGTATGTGCTTGGTTCGTGAATTGTTCTGGGTCCTGTTTCATAAAACTTGTTATCAATAACAAATGCTAAATTGCTATGACAAATGTTCTCTCAGCCAATCAAATCCCGCGATTTCAGAAGCTTATAACAGTTATATATTGTTACTTGTTATTGATAAACGTTTTATGAAACCGGGCCCTGGCCTTGTCCAGACCAGTTTTTTTTTTGTGTGTAATGGCTTTCTCTATGTTCGCAATATTTCTACAGCTTCTAATTCAGTACCGTCGTTAGTACCAACCTCGTCAACACAATCAACAATGGTCTGGCCTCCCTCGACTACGCCTTCTACCCAAGGTAAGAATATGCAATCCGATTAAACATGAATACTGTTATTCACTAATAATGTCCCACTAACAGTGCCACCAAATTCAAACACGGCTGGCAAATGAAACCGTAGGATGATTTTGGACATTTTGGTAGATTTGCCATTATTCATTTTGATAAAATTAACGGTCCACGGACTCCATGGTATCTTTGAGTTAAGAAGTGTATAGATGAAATAGAGAGGTAATCGAAACCTTCCTCAAGACTATGATCTAAATCTGATGCATTGCACTATTTTAAAAATGTAGACGATATGAAATTGTCAAAGGTGTCAAGATGGTCAAATAATATCGCCTCGACTATATACAAACTAATAATTAAATCTCAACCCCGACTGTAATCCTCAAAGATTCATCCACTCTCAACAAGACCAGTTCTTCCGAATACCAATGGTTTGCTTTTGAAGAAATATTTTGATCTTCTAAAGTGCATCTATCGTTTCGTTCTTCCATTTGAATAACTTACAGCTACATCTCAAGCACTGTCCAGTTCAAATCCGACCTTAACCGGAAGCAGTCGAACTACCTTACCCGGAAGCATTACAACTGAAGGAAGTAACAACGAAAGATTGTTAGGTCAGTTATGAAACAAATGTACTCGAGCATCATTCAAGTACTAGATAAAGAGTAGACAATGTACTGTAAAAGGACAATCCCATAACGATAACGAGGATGAATATAGCTAAACAATTAGCCTATTCAGTATCACATGGTAATTGTAATTTGTATTGAATATTGGTGAAACTATGATAAGCATCGATTTCTCGGATCTAACAGCCCTAATTTAAAGTTCCAGGAGACGGATTATTAAAGTCAATAAATTAACATGGTTCATGATATAGGCGATATGAGGCTGATCTGTAATCATACATTTTGATACAATAACAATATCTGTCATGTCCAGCTGCGAAAGGCAAATAGATTAATAAAATTTGTTTTTGTTCACAGGTTTTGAGTACAGTATATCTATCCAAATCATAGTCGTTGTTACATGTTACCTTGTTTCTCAAGTGCTAGCATTTTAATGAACCCTGACAAAAAGCCTTTCTAGATTAGATTTACATGAATCCTTTTACTGACCCTTGGTCAACATACCAACATTCATTGAACAATGTATCTAGACTACTGTTAACAAATGCCACGACATGCCTCAAGATCAATGATATAATATATATTATATATCTATAAATATATATATATATATATATATATATATATATATATATATATATATATATACATACAGTCAAACTTGCTTTAGTGACCACCTGTCTACAAAGACCACTTTTTGTGTTTTTCTTGGGCGGTCTCTATAGACAAGTTTGACTGTATATATATATTTTTCTCAATAGTTTTTTCCTTCTTTTTCAATAATTTTTTCTATTTTTTAAATATTTTGTAGACAGTATACACACACACACACACACACACACACACGCACACACGCACACACATATATATATACACAGGCAAAGTGCAAAAGTGTTTTCTATTTTTCAGATGTGAAGTTCATCGCTCTCTTATCTGGCTTGACCATCATGTCGGTGTGTTTTATCATCCTCGTCGTGGTCTTTGTATGCTGGTAAATATCAACATATTTATCATTTAGATGTTCTTAGAAATATAACCAGTCGAACAAGACATCATACTAAAAAAAAAAATCAATTTACGAACGTTGTAAGGCTGAAATTCAAAGCTTTTACGTTTCACAAAATGTACCTCAAAATAACTTTTTTGTTTGTTTTGTTTACATGCACTGAAAAGCTAAGTGCATATTATTTTGGAAGGAGTTTTTGGACGAACACTGTCAGAAAGTATACAGATACAGACTTCGTTATATCAATGACTTTAATGACCTAATTCTCGCAATCAGCCGACGATATAATTTATTTCTTCAAAATGCCCGGCCAGCTGTTGATTAACTAAACTTACATAAAACATTCAACAGTATTTATTCTTCTGACCGTTATCACTTCTCTTTCTTTCTAGCTTTGTATTAAGGCGCAACAAAAGAAGCAGTGGTGAAGTAGAGCTAGAATTACAACCCATGCAGTGTCCCTCACCACTTTCTCATCCAGACTGTCATCTGCGAGGTGCCGTCAAAAACGATTACGTGAGTGGTACGGAAAAGGGTAACGTGGGTGACGTCACTGCCCTGGACGACCACGACAGTCAAGTTCATCACAACTACTGTTCGTTTCGCCAGGAACCAAACGCAGCCACGAACCTCGGTAGAACCGACAAGCGCGGTTCAACCGAACTCCTGGTTGACGACGAGGGTGTCGATAACGAGTACGCGTGCACGTATGAGTGCGCGTACGAGTGCATCGACGTTGACAAGACGGATGCGAAGAGAATGTCGGACACTTCTATGATACTAGCTAGATCAGTTGCTGCCAAGGAGACTCACAGCACTCACAGATCCATGGGTCAACTCCACGAAGGAGACGTTGGTCCCATGAGGCCCACTTCAATGAAGGACCACGAATACACTTACATCGCGAACGCACATACCCCTCCCTTTCTCTCCGAAAACCGAAATACGGCATACGAAACTCCCATGGACCCATCCTCTGCTCATGTTTTCCAGGAGGTAAACCGCCCTCTTGGTCAGGAGCTGCACCAAGATACAAGTCATTATCTGAATAAAAACGTTATCCATCCTCGTTCCCGGGCCAATCGGGACATGAACCACAATTAATAGAAGACATTAACAATTAGTAACTAAGCTATTCCGTTTCTGCATGTACATGACGATCTGTTATATCATTCATATGTATGTCATTTGCAATAAGTTCTTTCTTTCTTTGTTTTGTATGTTCTATGTGTATTATCTTGTTTTCTATATGATTTATATGCGATTGGTTGGACGTTGATGACACGGATTTATATTTTTATTCTTGATTGTTATTGCATTTTTTCCTTCTTTTTCAAACAAGGCTTCATGGAACATCATGGAACAACTATGAAAATGTACTACCCCATATTAATGTCAGAAATACATATTTTGAAAAGCAGTCTTCTCGGCTGACGTGATATTAACTGTGAATAAATCAATTAAATCAAAAGTAGACTTTGACCACATTGTCTACAAAGATAGCCATGATTACTATAATATGTAAGAAAAAGGAAATAAGACACGAACAGAATGAATATTTCTTGGAATCGTTCCTGAGTGATAAATATAAATGAGTTTTATTTAAATAATAATTGCGTGACAATGTCAATATTTCAAGAAAGTAATATATATACAAGTTCAATCAGAGTTTTGATTATCAAAGGCTGAAATGATTGACAAATGAAGTGGATATAATCAAATGCTATCTTTAAAAACGAGTTTATTCAAACTAAAGCATTTGATTTGTTTTGCACTCTTAAACAGAAGCTCAACTAAACGACCAACAAATTTATGTATATACGATGAGAATAAGTTTCAATAATATCACTTAACGTATCGAAACTGAATCTTGGATGTAGCAAAACTGCCAACGTATTATTGATGAGACCACGTGTATACATAAGAAGCTGTGTTTTAAAACATTTCATATCCTCTTATTGATAGTTTTTTGATTTAGATAACACCGAAAATGAATAATACAATGTAGAGCGTATGTAAAACATATATTATGGGTTGATAATTGATTGCAATGCGTTCCACAGCATGCGAGAGACTTTAGTACACAATTCATACTGTTTTATAGAGGGAAACGGGAGAGAGGTGTGGGGGCAGGATATTGACGATATATATAACATTCGGAGGCATTACATTTCCCTTTACATCACGTAGTCAGAATTTTACTATAACTCAGCTGGTAAGGAATTGAACAGAAATACAAATTGATCAATTAGAAAATATATTTTCCATAGCAAGAAAACCAATTTTATGAATTTAAAATCTTGTAATGTCATCGGGTCGATTAAAGCTCAACTGCACTACTTATAGCTGCTTGCGCCCTCTAAATAGCAAACAATGCCTAATCGGTGCCTGTTGGTCCCCCATAGTCCCTTTTGAGGGCTGATTTGAAGAAATAACCACCTGTCAGTGACCTTGCAGGGAGGTCTAATCCCTCCTGGCCAAACTAGTGCAAACGGGCTTTAATAGTTGTAATTTTGGTGCACTCATACCTTACTTCCTTGTGCACGTGTCAATGATAATCTACCACATTACTGTATTAGATTACTTAGTAATTACATTATTGCGACATTCCAAATACTGCGGAATCACATATATAAGATTAAATAAATGCATAAATGATATATACATAACATTTCATTAAATTTTGTTTCTTAATTGATATAACGACCATCATGATAACAATATAAGACAGTAATGACGTATGTCAGATGTCATAGAATAGTAGGGTAGCAGATGAGACACACATCACTGGTAAACAAGAGAAGCCTACCCGATCATCATCATCATCACCACCACTCCATTAAATATACATTAGCTTATAACTAGGAGCTTCTTTGCATTGGGAAGTTCTTAAAGGTATTACAAAGTTTTGGGAAATTTTGAAAAATGGGTGGATAGTGATTCTTTACAATTTTGATATGTTTGGATGCCCCTGTGGATGTATTAAAAACACTTGAATCTTTAGCCCCTAAAACACTTCTGCTTTCGAGAAAAATTATAAAGATAAAGATTTACCGGTGCTCCCGGTAAATTTTGATAAATTTCAAATAGCTCCTACGGCCGTACAATGGTAGCTGCGACCATGAAAATCTCAGAATATGTAGTTGTGGTATATAATTTTCGAACAGGAATAGCTAATCGGTCAAATTTATTCAAGAAACATTGTTTGATAGCTTAATTAATATCTTGACCTTTAGAGGGAGCTATACAACACAAAGTGTTTACTATTTACAATTTCATAACTTTAGAGTCGATTTCGACCGGGACAACGATAAGTCAATATTGTAGGATCGCATATGCTTCCAATATGTTCATTTGAACCAAATTCACGACTCAATACCAAAACTGTGTATTATACCCATTGGCTACCGAATTCCCGCATTCCCTTACCCGGCTTCAGTAGGCACTACATAAATAGACTACACACACATATGCTTGTGCAGATAATACTACCAGAAACCGAAAGTGCTGCATGTAGTCTTAAAATAATACTGCAATAAAGAATAATTAAGGATAGTTGTATTCAGTAAAGTCTGAGTTGCTTTCTACCATGACTGCGATCAGGTGACTAGTATTATCTGAAAACAATTCGTCCATTGAGAGCCGGAAGGCCATTAACTCCACAACTTTTACATAGACCTAACTTCCTTATGTCTGTGAACAGACGAATTCTAACCACTCAAACATAAAGGTCTAGATTCAATCTAGCGGTATACATGTGCATGCCTATCTACATTGGTTCTGTGTATGAAAAACCCACGTAATAAACTAACGAGTATTTACATCTTACTTTTCTTACTTCTCCTAGAGTAACTGTCCAAGCATGGTTCAGTGCAGGACGCAGATTCTGGCCCTGGTTTAGGTCTTTGGGCGAGTTGGGGGAACTGTGTTCTAGGAGGGGGGTCAGGGGGGGGGGCAGACAGAATGTATTTCGCCGTATGTTTCTCCCCAAAGCCGCAAAAAGTACCTGTCATGCCAGTTTTTACTGACTATATACACGATGCACGATATCTAAGTCAGTGGTGCCCCATGCAGTTACCACCAACACAATATACACAGACCCCTCGCTTTATTCGTGAAATAAATTGAAATTTGATAGTTATATAGGACCGATTGCCACCATCTCATAAGGATCATTCTCTGGTGTTTGGGCCATCCCAAGTTCTTCCACAGGGGAACCAACCCCACCTTCCGGATTTCCCGATGTTCCCTTACCACTGTCTCCAAGATCCTCACCCACTCGCAGTTGAACATAATCATCATCATCATCATCATCATCATCATCATAATCATAATCCATTTCTAAATCATCTCCATCTCCATGGTCTGCTTTGGTCTTGGCGTTAGCCTCATCTTCTACCAGAGCAGGTTTGTTCTTTTCCCCATCATGAGGATTGTCCGGTGACCCTAGCCGCAAGGCGCAGTATTCGTTTTGTAGCCCTACCAGTAGAGCGCAGTATCCGTCGCCTGCGTCATCAGGCTTCGACATCACCTCCGATTGGCCATCCATGTCAGGGATTCCGATAAATGGTTCAGACACCACTCTACTCCTGGCGCCCTGCGTGGAGTGACGGCGCCTTTCAGCAATTTTAGGCTTCTTTGACGCTCTAGCTCCGAAAAGGGAAAGCCTTGAATGATTTATTGCGGATGCGAGTTCTTTCATCGCAGGGGCGTGATCAGCGGTCGTTGTAAATGACTTTACAGCACTCGATGGCTCGGTATTTTGCAGCTCTGCTGATTTCAGAACTACAATTTCTTTCGTAGTTTTCTTTCGTTGAAATGGAGCTTTGACGAATGATGGTTCCTCTCTGCTTATATAAGCAGCGGATCTAGACGATTCTGCAAGTGGCCTGTGAACTATGCTACTTTTAGGGCGAACCGCAGGTTTGGCAGCTGTTAGTTCTCCTGTCTTTGGATTGGCATCGAATACAGCTGATCTTGTGCGTTTCGTGTTTACTGCAATTTCATCGAGGCGATCCACTGTTTTAGGAAAAAAGGATTGTTTTATGTTGAAATTAGCAGCGGATCCAGGTCTGTCCTTCGGAGCTGTCGATATGTTTGAGTCATGACTTAATGCAGACGATGCTATGGCGGAACCACCCTGGACGGTAAATGTGTCCGGCTCCTGTTTGTCAGACACCACACCCGCAGTCTTATATGTTAGCTCTTGCTGGTCAAAGGTTACAGAATCGACAAAATTACAGCCTTTGATACCCAATGACGCACCGGGCACTGGAGCAGGCAATGGGACAGTGCTCCCCAGAGTCCCATGAGTTTGATCTGGTGTAGCATTGGCGACTTCGTCATCATTATCAGCAACGACACGACTGCTTGAAAATCCTTGGCTATCTTCTACGAGGGTTGACAATGATGGGTTGGAATGATTCCGAAATTGAACACGATAGCCTTCAGAACGAAGGGCAGCTGGTGCTCTACTAGATGATCGGGAGGAGGGAGGTGTCCAGCGATGGAAGATTCCTTGACGGCGTCTACGAATATATCGTACCACCCTGAACAAAGATAGAGAGAGGAATTATTGGTAACCAGCTCACTGTAAACAGCCCAGGAGATATGACCATTTTATGTCAAGCATATTTATTGAACAATAGTTTAAAAATTGACATCAAATAGAATTCGAATAGTTTAAGTTTAGAAAGAGATGGGCTAATATTACCCCTTAAACTTTGAATTAGTTTCATGCACCTATAATTATGAGTAAATTATCTAAACAAAAATGACATCATATTTCTATTATATCCCATCATAAATTAAGTCATTTTTTCATAAGTCATGAAAATCGGAACTGTGGACTTACAAGAAAACAATTATGATGATGAACAAGGCTACGACAACCGCTGCTATATCGATGAGAATACGAAACCAAACTGTCGTGAAAACTGAAAGAATACAAAGGGAGTAAAAACAGAGTGGCCTAATGATTTATTTATCATCTTCACGTTGACTGGATATGGTGATAGCATGAATAGACAACTAGAAAAGATCACGTGTGTGGAACTTTTAAAGGGTTTGAAGAGTCAATTAGATTTGCCAAACCCGGAAACAATGTCGACGTTGGACAGAAATTACTCGTTACCTTGTTTCACATTAAGTCAAAGATGTACAACAATATTGACTAATCTTTGACACACGATTTAAACTACACCAATGTACTCCGATATTCTATCAAGGTAAAATGGCAGTTTAATCATGTGATTTAAGACAACTTAAAGTAGACCAGTCAAGACATATATTTGTTTACTCTGGTTTCGGGGGTAATGCATGGCATCCATTCTAAATCTGTTGCAAACAGAATACTAGGAATAAGTAAGGAATGGATGTCACGCGCATCTTTTAGGTTAAACATTTGGAAGACTGTACAAAATAAAAAAATCTCATGATGAAATATTATTTTTATCTGATGAAGGCCTTTGATAAACAATTTTATGTGAGTTTGAAGTAATAAGCTGTTTAATACACATTTAAAAGATAGATATTAAACACATAATGAACGGCGGAATTAAAGCGTGATTCACTCAAAATGTGGGGATGATGAAAACTACTTATTTTTTTCAAAGTTTCATACATACCGTATTGAAACACCTTTAAAAAAAGAAAATTAAACGTATATTATATTGTCATACCGCACACAGAAAAGAGTTTTAGCATGAATGCAATCGGTCACCCCTAAATGCAACTTAATCTTTTTCAAGAGCATTTTTTGTGATGTTTGGCTGGTCTACTATTTTGAGACATCTAGAAGAATACGAAATATAAACATTGCGATCAATATTTCTACAACAACAACAAGATTTTATATTCATTGTTAATCGGGTTATCAATAAGTCTGTATGATAAATGACGAAATGTGAAAACCTTTCGTTTTATAACGATACAATAAATTTACATTTTATGTACCTTGGTGTTCTTATTTATGAAGTCATAATTTGAACAAGTCTCTGAGTGAATGCTCCAGTTTTTTTTAGAGGGAAATACAAATCTTTGTTCACTATTTTGCTAAAAAAGTAGGAAATCAAATTTCACATCTGTTCGGCATCATATCCATATCATATTGCGAAACCGTCAAGATGAATTTCACTACGCTTTTGACATGTTATCAAAGCTCACCTTTACATTATTTCAGCTAAATGATAGTAACAAAAACACAAAAATAAACACTCACTCGAGCAAATACCAAATAATGATCACAGATTTGTTCATTTTGAAAGGTTTCTGAACTATCTAAATGTAATCATTTCAACGATTTCAATACTCACATGTATTGTCGGCCAGTCTGCACGTGGGAACTTCACCAGACCACTTGCCTGATGTTCCATTGACTGCCCCAGACGCCACACACTCCAACGTCTTGTTTCCATTGAGTTCGAACCCCGGAAAGCAGATGAAGGTGACATTGGTTCCCATACGGAAAAGGTATTGGTCGATCGTGCCATTGTCGGGCACTGCCAACGGGCTGCAAAATCCGACGTCTGTTCTGAAAACTGGCAAAAACACAATGACATATGAAAAAGATAAAATTGGACGTATGTACTAAACATTAGCAAAAAACAATAGCATATAACAAGAGTAAAATTAAAAGTCTGTGGGCCTCCTAAAATCTAAAAAAACAATGACAAATGAAAAGGGTAAAAAATGTGACGTCTGCACTAAAATCTAGCAAAAATATTTATCTGAGGGCTTTATCTCAGAAGGATGATTTCCGATTCGACCCAGGTAACATTGGTTCTATATAAAAGTAGATATGACCATTTGGTCCTATGCGCACCTGCAGACAGTGCTTAGGGCTAAGGTTTAGGCATAAGGCTTAGGGTGTTTTTAATCATAAAGGCTTTGATAATACGGTTAATGTTATGGTAGGTTATCTTATCGCTGGAAGAGTGAGGTTATTTTAGTTCAATTTGGATGACTCTACCGTTAGCACACCGTGACTGTAAAAGTTTCAGACATGGATAATTGGAAGTACACACTCCAAATTAGCATCCCACGCGTATGGAGCATATTTCGTATTGAAATGGAAAAAGAATAAACACGATTTTAAACGATTTTAAACATAACAACAAAATAACAAAAAATACTGTGTCTGGTATATTGTTCGTTAGACACCAATCGATTAGTTTTTTTTTTCAAAATCAATTTATCAACACTATGTTGCTGATAATTATGAATGCGTGTCGTGGGGGGGGGGGGGGGCTAAGGATGCGTGGGTAAGTGTGTGCGTGCGCGAGCGCGCGCGCGCGCGCGTGTGTGTGTGTGTGTGTGGAGAGATGTTATTACATGGCGGCCTGCAGGAAAGTAAGGAAATGTATTGAATCGTAAAATGAATATTACTTAAAACTTACCACATGTTTGACCAGTATCCTTCAAGCACCTGTCGTCACAACTTCCATCATGTACTTCCGAGAAACTTGAATTGCCCACAGTCGGATCATCCTCTCGGCAGAAGCATGTTAATGTGGTGAAGAGTGCATATCTTTTAAATTCATTTCTGCAATGAATAAGACAAGCTTCCAAGTTCGTGACGTTGTAGTCAGGAGAGTGTCTGTCCAGCCATTCTTGACCGTCTTGATAACATCCGTTTCCGGGTCCTAGTGGAGATTGGTCAAATATCAGATTTCATTATATTTGATGGTATTCATTCAAAACATATTTAGACAGGAATAGATCATCAATTGATTACTGAAGCAATTTTACATGAATTCATCGTCGTAAGCTTTATTTAAAGCTTGATTGAGACGTCTAAATCAAAGCGAAAACTTTGTCATAAAAAAGACATATAGATTATAAACAATAATTATTAATATACCAAAATCGAAAACAGAAAATATTGAAAAGTTACGTTATTCTCAATCATAATAGATTGAAGCTCTGTATCGTTCTTTTTTGCAAATACAATAATAGTAAGTTTATGTAAAAGGAATTCCCTTTCCAGTGATCTGAGAGAGAGCCCTAATTCACAAAGTTTCTTGAATGGGCAAAAGTTATCTTCTCCAGAATTATAAAATGTGACCCAGAAGACAGCTCTTTATAATCATTTTCTTGACTAATATTTCATTGTTGTTCGCATTTTCTTCTCGCACCCATGACTAGCATGTTTAAGGAATTTTCCAGTCCCCTCCAGTCCCCTCTCTATACTGCTAGCATTCTCCTTAGCTTTACTTCTCGCTTCATCTCTCCATCTCTCACTCTTTCTCTCTATCCATTTTACCCACCTATATATAGCTATCTATCCTTTTTTATAATATTTTCTTCCAATTTTAGCCGTATCATGTATTTTTATTCATTTTTTTGGTGGTCTCTGTCTAGTTTACATGTTTGTGTATTCTTGTTTTTCTTCTCTTAAGCATATTAATCAGTGAACCTGCACGCAACAAGCCTAGATTATAAATAGATTCACTTTTCATTTCCGAAGTTAATGATTTACAGAATATTTTTTGATTTCTTTCATGTCATTAGTCAGTATGATTAAGGATTATTTAAATCCATATTACTTTGTTTTGTAAATTATGTTCTGCATTGTTAACTTTGCACAGTACAGTAATATTTAATGGACCCTGCTTATATGGAGTACTATACCTCGTAAAATACGTGAATTGAAATTTGTTAACACTTTCAAACGTAAATACAAAAAATGCTTGATGGACGTATATTGATATTAGCTACAGATTTTAACGGTTGTTAAATCCATTATATTTTACATGTAATTGTTGTTTGTTTCACTTTTTGTTACAGCTTAACTTTTTACATTTGATTAATTGGTCAGCCGCATACAAGGACCACCTCCTTTCTGGTTGCTACCAGCATTAGCAATTTCCTTTGTATTATTCATGTTTGTAAATTGATTCTGTGTATTTCTGTATTTATCTATGTTAGTAATTGTAATTGTGTGAAACTTTGTATACTGCTTTTGTTTTACCCTGTATGTTTTTTATTGCTTGGCAAAATAAATTGAAATTGAAAATTGAATTGAATTGAATTGAATTGAATTGAATTGAATTGAATTGAATTGCATGGAAAATGAAGCTATATAATATATATATAGTCCTGAAGTTATATAATTTATATTATTCTTAAATTTAAAGGTTCTATACAAGTACAAGCATTTGACTGTTTGAATGCATTTGTGTTCAACTATCAAAATGAACACTAAGCCAAAAATGTATATTCCCATAATGTTTTTGTCTCACCGTTGGGATGGAAAGATGAAAAAAGAAAAAAAGAAAGAAAATAGAAAGAGACTAAGAAGAAGAAGAAGAAGAAGAAGAAGAAGAAGAAGAAGAAGAAGAAGAAGAAAAAGACAAAGAAAAAGAAAAAGGAGAAGAAGAGGAAGAAGAAGATGAAAAAGAAAAAGAAAAAGAAAAGGAAGAAGAAGAAGAAGAAAAAGAAGAAGAAGAAGAAGAAAAAAAAACAGTGTAAACTCATCATACTCACCGCTGGCATCCGTAGACTCTGCGTGTACCAAGCATATCAGTAACAGTAAATATAACACCATCATGTTTACCGATCCACATGCACGTTTTTGTATTGGTAACTGATGTATTGAATTTAAAGTAAAAAGTATTTTTAACGTGTATACGCCTATACTCGTATGATGTTCCCAAAGTGCAGATACGATGGCGTAAATAAAGACGATATCGTCATAATGAAAGAGTATACTAGTGTAATTCCACAGCGATAGTGCCAAGATTGCTTCAGAATTTCCAGAATAACTTCCTCATCCCATGCATGCATATCACGTTCCTTACTAGACTCAGTGATCATGGTAAAAGAAACTAATTTTTGAAGTGAAAGCTGTTTTGTCTTCTTTTGACATCAAGTACATCAATATGTAATATGAAGTATGTACTAAGCACCAGCCGAAACTACAACTACAACACAGGGCGAAGGGCGGGGCGCTGTGAGAGTGAAGGGGGAGCACGGTAAATCCCCCATTAAATTCTTGTCGTTAAAATAAGGTTTCATCATCCCGATCTTGATAAGTTCTTGAGGCGCCCCAAAGTTAGAAGACAATACATCCTTTTACGGTCAAGGCCGCCATTTTAATATGCGAGTAAACATTGGGTCATTAATGTTTTTAGATGCGCATGTATTGTCGCGTCATTGCCTGCGCTGTGCATACATGGGCGCCATCTTAAATTTCGAGTAAACATCTTTGTTTACTAATAAATTAAAGTGGCGCCCATGTCTGCACATGCGCACTCATGTAACCGTAAAAGGGTGTATTGCTCGTTCAGATGTGACGCGGCAAAATGGCGGCGATTTTGTTGTTGTTGTATGATTTAACAGAGCTCAGTGAATACGCGCGTGTCGTTTGTTACACGCAGTAGCCATTCATTAACACGTAGAAAAAAAGGCGGCTTAAAAAAAAGGTTTTGCGGCGGTTTAAAGCAGCATATCTGAAGAAATCTCAGGAGTTATTCCTCCGTCTTCGTAATCAGTGCTAATATCTCCTCCTGTCAATGTCTACGCACTGAAAACTAGGAGTTGCGCCACCAACGATAGACATGTCCTTTTGTGATATTTCCCCACTCCATTTTCTACTTTATAAATACATTGAGACGTGTATAACCTCCAAACACAACAATTCTTACAAATAATCAGGAAAGTGAAACAGCACCATCTCCTGTTTTTCCTATAAAATTGTTGACAGTCGATTTCCAATTCATCTACTTGTCAAGTTTGGGTTACACTTCTTTCTTATCTCACTATCATAATTTTATAATTAATCAACAATATCCTATTGACATTCTCATTGCTTTATTCGCCTCTCTGCACAGTCACTCGTTTGCAACATGTGTAATTTTGCACAAGACAATTTTAACCGGTTGACGTGATAGTTTCGTTTAATAAAATGACTTTGAAGCCATTGGTATAGAAAATGTAAGAAACTTCATAAACAAAATGAATCTAACAAAATCGAGTTAAAAGTGCAGTTGTCTTTAATATATTCCTTTGAAATAAAATACTTGTCTAATTGAACATAGATACAAATGTTCTGCCTCAACATTCGCAGATACATTAACAGAGACAGATAGCATTACTCATTTACATCTCAACCATGAAAGTGTGTTGATATTTAAGTAATATTGACTGCCTTCTGGGCAATACGACATATATCGCCTGAACCAAAGGTGAGGGTGATATATGACAAGTCGTATTGCCCTGAATTAGGCAGTCAATATTACTATTATTAACCACATCAGACATCTAGAGCAAACAAGAAACTCTTACTATCTTATACTCTTAAACTATGTAGGCTACACAGGGTTTCCTAGCATTAGAAGTTGCAAAAACATTTTCAATCCAGCACTGTTCATCCAG